CTACTTCGTTTAATCCCCAAGGAATGACATGAGAAATAAGGAAAAAAGAAAAACTGCCTTTGGGCAAAGTTGTAGCATCTCTTTTTCCTCATGATCTGTCTCAGAACCTGAGCTAAAGCCCAGAATGTGGCCCTGGTAGATCTTGTCCCCACTCCATCTCCTGTTACTGAAGACTTTATAAGGCAAAGACTTCTTTAGAAATACAGTGAAGTTCTCTTGGTGGATCTCAGGAAAAATGCACCAGTCAGGAAGAAGATTTCTGCTTTGCAGAAATAGGACTTTCCCCCACAGAATCTGCAGATGCCATATTGAATTTTGCACTGATCCCCGTGAGATCTTGTGTAGAATCAATCCTGGTTTATTTATGAGGTTATGGGACTCTGCACAAATGGGGGCAATTTTGTGTTGTGAGGTCACAGAGACTGGGTTTGGGGGAATCCAAAATTCCTCTTTGAACATTGTTGGACACACCTGTTTGGCCTAGGCCAGCATGAAGGGTCTTGCACTAACTTTGAGTGCTCCTTCAAGTGGTGAAAAGGATGAAATTTCAAATCTCATGAGTCTTTTTTTCACTTTCACTGGAGCCCTGTGGATTTTAGTCTCCTCAGTTGTGTTCAGTGTTGATATCACTTGAAACTCACATTTTTGAACACCTACAGGCTGAAGGTCCCTTTCTAACTCAGTTGACCAGCTGAGTCTTCTAAACTAAGTGACCGGAAAAATGATCTTTAGTTCACCCCTGCAAAAAGGAATCATAAATGATTATAAATGGTCCCCAGACATGGCACAGATGAGGCAGAATGTGATTAAAAAAATAGGAATTCACTTTGGGAGGAAACAGATGATTTGCAAACTCCACCAGGATAACTCTGCAGTCAGCACACATCTGTATCTGAGATTTTAAAGCCTAATTTGTATCACTCTGCTTAAATAAAATGACCCCCCCAAACCCCTAAGTTAATGTTGCTTTTCCTTAAATACATGAGCAGCTTCAGCCTACTTTTGAGGGCTGTGGAGAGTGCAAACACCTCCCAAAATCGCAGAGACTCCAGCAGGACTTTGCAAAAGGAAGGCTTATGCTGCTAATCTCTCTCAGATCAACTGTAGGGTTGTTGAAGAGATGGACACAGCATCTGTGGAGAGATGTGGGGTTTTTTGGAGGGAGAGACCCTGTGCTGAAAACTGCAGCCTCATACAGGCAGAAATCTTTGTTTAAAGAACTCGTGACATGAGTGGAAGGACGTTGGTGCTTCAGCTAAATCTCATTAAGCTTTAAAGAAGCCATGTAAAAAAAATTAAAAATTGAGTGGAAGCAAACCTCTTTAAGAGGAGATTTATGCCATAAAAACTGGAATCCCTCTCACCTCCCTGTCTGCCTGGAGGTTGAGTGTCTCCTTTAAGCTGGTTTGATCTGCTCCTTCCCACTTGGCATAGAGGAAGCAGCACCTCTGTGGGGTGAAGGGGTTAAGGATGGTTTGTTCTGCAAGGAGTGAGGTGGATTATCTGCTGGGAGTGATTATGGAATGAGGATCTGGGTTGCTGAGTATATTCTGTTGTTAATGCTATGTTTTCCCCGTGCAAATACATGATTTAAATAATGGGAAGTCCTCTGGCCGTTGTTGCCCAGGAGTCTGAGAGATGGGCACCCTCTTATCCTCTCCTAAACCTCAGACACAGTTATGGTGACTGAGGGACAATGCTGCATCCTGTCCAGCATCCCTTCCCCTCCTTCAGCCTGACCCCAGTGATAGGTATAAATGCATCAGATTCCCTGGAGAAAGGGGCTGCTGCTGCTTGAGCATCTCATCCCACCCTCTTCAGCTGCTTTGGGCATGAGCTGTTCCATGTCTTGGATCCATCCTTATTCCCTCACCTTCTCTTGACTCTGTTTTGGGCCCACCCAGCTGTGGTTGTAGCAGATAAATCCTCCACAGAGGGGCTGCCTACCGACACCAGCTCCTTCCACATGGATATTCGGGAGATGATGTTGCTCCATTTGCTCCACCAAGCAAAGAATTCCAGCTCAGGCTCTCAACATTCACCTTCCACTGCCCACTTGATGGAGTTCTCACCTCTTTCCTCTCTGTGCTTGTTTCTGTTGTTCCTCAGACAAGGGCAGCTAAGCTGGCATCTGCTCTGTCTTGTGCTGGGGATATGATGAAGGAATGAGCCCTGACTCTCATGAAATCCCAGCTTGTCTTGTCCCAAGCTTTACTGAGGCTGGGTCTTGACCTCAAATTCCAGCCCCAGCACTTCTGCTGCTGGACATTCTCACTTTTGGGTGAAACTCCTCCATTCTTTGAGTGCTGAAGGAACAACAGATGCAGGTCCCACCCAACCCTCTCACACAGGTACCTCTGATGGTCAAAAAGCTCTTGCAAGGCATGATGAGGTTTTTCTTTCTTTCTTTCACCCACCAAATAGATTGAAACCCAGGAAATTAAGCATTATCCTGGTTTTATCACTTCCTACTCATCCTTCCAAGATCAGCCCTTTCTACCACCATGCTGTGTGGCAGAAATGCTTTGGAGGAGATGCTCTGGATGTGAGTAAAGACACCCAATCTGTTCACCCTTCTTTCCTCAACAGCTCTCTTCATCCAGGAATTAGGAGACAACAGCAAAACCTCCTGATAGCCATTCCAATGACTCCCTTTCTAAAGCTCCTTAAATAGAAGTTGACCTGTTTGGGGAGAAGTGGAGCCTGGGCTTGGCATTACAATCCAAAGAGCAGGGAGGGCTGGCGCTTGGAAGAGGGAAGTATGCCACAGGAAATGGTGAACTGACCTTGTCTGGCACTAAATGAATCCATAGGAGTCTGTGGGGCATGTATGGAAGCAGCTAGAGTCTGAACACATCAGCAGGGGCTGCACCTGGGCTTTTAAGCCCTTCCCTGGGCTGTTTTCTCATTCCTCAGGGATGCAGCTGATGCTGTCCCTGTTTAAAGGCAGAACTGGCCCCTTCCTGTGACGAGCCACACTCCCACAGACTTGATGAGCCAGGAGAGACTCGATTTGATTTTTAAACACACTGCCTTCCTAACAGTATCCATCTCCCTTTGCTTTTTCCCCTGCTGGAAGTGAAAATCTTCGATGCTCCCTTTCACAACGGCTCCTCTCAGCATTTAATTTGCTTTTATATAATTATGGACTGGCTGCGAGGAGGAGAAGGAGAATGAGAAGGAGGAGGAGGAGGAGGTGGAAGAGAGAAGCACTGAACGTACATGGAGGAGCTCTAGGAATCCTTGCACCGACGGAGTCAAGGAGCGCTGAGCAAGCTCTGCTGCTCTCATCCATCAGCGCCCGCATCCCTAGCACAGGCGGGGAGGGAGGCAGGGAGAGGATGCACTGGGGACCTGGTGAGCTCGGCTGCTGGAGCGTGGTGAGCAAAGAGCCCTCCAGGGCTCGGGGAGGCAGGCGGGGACGTGCGCTGCCTTGGAAGAGAGAGCTGCCTTGGAAGAGAGAGCGCAGCCGGCTCGGCGCGCTGGATGGAGGAGCGGAGGAACTGCAAAGCCCAGGAAGGGAGGGGAGGGGGATGCTGGAAAAAAAAAATGATGCAGCTCGTTCAGTGGATTAGGCAGCCGTGCCTGGAAGTGGCAAAGTGAAAGAGCCATGGATTTGAAAGCCTGGAGGGATTATTCTCCCGCGTTGTCTGACTCGCGGCACAACACAGAGGCCAACAAACTTCACCCGGCGCTTTCTGCGGCGAGCCCAGCAATCTGCAGAACGCCCTGGCAAACCTCCTGGGCTGTGATTTCTGCATTTTCAGTCGGGTTAATAACGTTGGAAGCAGCAGGAAAAAGGGGGCTGGCAAATGTGAGCCATTCTAGCAGGAGTTGTAGAAAGGCATATTCATCATGTCAGCACCTTGGAGGCCTGGAGAGCTTGTGATGAGAGGTTTCAAGAAAAGACTGCATAAATAGGAGGAGGGAAGCTTCTATAAACAACTGAGATGGACATGCTGGCAATACAGGGGAAAGGGAGAGTGGCTGGCCTTCCCAGATGCTGTAGATAGTGGTGACCTTGGAAAAACCAGCAAAATTTAAACCCCAAAGGAAATTCCAGTTTCAGTTCCCATCTCAGCTCCAAAAAACTCCTCAGAAATGACAGGCCCCAACCAAGCTGTCTTTGGGAAGCTGAGCGTCACCCCATGGTGCACGGACTGAACAGAGGCTGAATAACCAAGCAGCTCCACTGCTGGTCCTTGGAAAGGATGGTTGTCCCTCAGGCTGGTCATGCCGGGGCTGGGACAGGGCCATGTCTCCCTTAGCTGGGACAGATGCCCCATGCTCAGCACATCACAGTGGTGGACACTGTGATGGGCAGAAGAATTGGCAAAATATTCCCTATGGAGGCTTCCAAGCCTCCTCTTATCATTTAATTGCCTTTCCAACTAAACATAGTTCCATAACATCCTTGTCCCTACACAATCCTCTCCACTGCCTTCCCCTTCTCTTTTCCTGGGCTTGGTGAGAACCATGGTACCAATGATAAGACCTTTAACTCCTGGGCACTCATCAGAAAAGGCCCTACAGCATTTAGCTGTTAAACCCCCCCTTTTTTACACTTAACACCATCAGAGCATTGCATAGGCATTGAACCATTTGTCCTCACAACACAAACTCAAATCTGGCCAGTTTTATCACCCTACTTATGTAAGGAGGGAAACTGAGGCAAGGAATGGTCGTATTTGCCCGGTGCCAAGCGACAAACGAGTGGTGCCACAGCAGCAGAGCCTGCTTGCCTCCTCCTGACACCACCATCATTCCTTTAGCCTGGATTGGGTGTGGAAGAGCTGAATCCCATCTTTTCCTTGACACTGACTTTTTTTTTTCTCCTCAGAGGAAACGAGCAGAAATTTTACCCAGCGAACTCAGCAGAGATTTGTCCCAAAGCAGCAACCCCCAGCCAGTGTGGGAAGTGAGCAGCACATCCATCAGCTGCCAGGCACTGGGAGCAGAGGGGAGAGGCTGGAAAGGTGGGGAAGAGGGGGGCCACTTACATGGTAATGCTTCTGCACGGTTCTTTTGGATCATTATGCAGAGCTGTAGCACCAGTTGAGGGGCGCTCTCGAGGAACGTTTCCAGGAGGCGCAGCATGTTCACGTCTGCATATTCGTACATCATAGCCCAGTAGAAACGCCGCTGGTGTTCCTTCCTCCTCTGGCTCTGGATCCCCAGGTACATTGTTCGGATATACCTGCAGGGAACAGGAGGGAAAAGCTGGGTGTGAGATGTTGGAGTTGCAGCAAAATCTGTTTCTGGGGTTCTGGGGAGACACTGGGGTTTGCACGGTTCTTCCGCTCCTGACACTGTCATATTTTCTGAGAAATCCCCTTGCCCTGGATTCTTCTCCTGGGAAGCTGAGAAGACTCAGAGAAAACGAAAAATAATATTATCTCATTTGCTTCTCCTGTGTTTGGAATGTGGTTTGGAGATTGTTTATCCAATATGTGAATTGTTTTTATTTAATGACCAATCAGGGTCCACCTGTGTCAGGACTCTGGAAGCACTCACAAATTTTAATTAGTATCTTGTTAAGCCCTCTGTATGTACCCTTTCTATATTCTTTAGTATAGTTTTAGTATAGCATTCTTTAATATAATATAATACCATAAAATAACAAATTAGCCTTCTAAGAACATGGAGTCAGATTGATCAATTCCTCCTTTATCCTGGGGACCCAGCAAATACCACAGGCTCCCTCCTGTCCGATCTGAGGAGGACTTTTAGAATCTGACTAATCATTAATGTTGGAAAAGGCCTCCAAGATCACCAAGCCCAGCCTTAAACTGGTTGCCACCCTGAGAACAAGATCATATAATGAAGTGCATTTGGTGTTGCAAGGGTGGGAAAACTTTAACTAGTACCACCCAAATGTGAAGCCTGGGAGTAGGAAGTGCTTTTGAAACACAAGAAAACAACACCTTTGCCTAATTTTCATCACAAGAAGTGAACCCACATGAAAAATACTGGTCCTAACACTTGGAAGTGGCTTGACAGACCATCTAACCCCCCTCAGCACTCTGGTAAGGAGCTTCACTCACAGACCCCAGAGCTCAAGAAGTGTTTGCACCATGCTCTCAGGCTCATTGAGGGATTCCTGAAGTTGTCCAGGAACTGGAATCTGACGATCCTTGTGGGTCTCTTTCCAGCTCAGGATATACTGTGATTCTATGATTTGACCCTGTTTCATCATAGGTGGAGCAATGAGACACCACCTTCACCTGCAGCATGTGTGTGACCCACAGATGTGAAAGGCCACAGTTTGTCACTGGTCAGCTTTGAGACTTTGGGCAATGTTGGAGTACAAGGAGGTGTCTCATGCATGGAGAGGCACAGCTCTACCATTGCCTCTGTCTCAGGACTTGTGGCATTTAAGAAAAAACCCTAACAGAGTCCTTTTTAATGCCTGTTGATATCACAGAATCCCAGAACGGTTTGGGTTGGAAGAGACCTTAAAAATCATCTTGTTCCAGCTCCCTGCCATAGGAAGGAGCACCTTCCACTATTCCAGGTTGCTCCAAGCCCTGTCCAGCCCAGCCTTGGACACTTCTAGGGATTGACAATCCAATATTGTGCCTTCTTCCTTCTCATCCTGAATGGTGGCTGTAACCCCGTTTGGGATGGGAACCATTTCACCTAATGTCGACCCTAAAGCTGCTCATCGGAGCCAGTCAATCGTCGGAAATGTCCCCTCCCGGGACTGTTCATCTGTCCCAGCTCGGCTGCCAGCACGGCAGAGGGATGAAACGCCTTCTGGAGGCTCTGGGAGGGGCTCCCGGCACAAGCTCTGGGGTTTGGCCAAAACGATTAGATCATCCCCTGCCTCTCGGGCGAGACTGCACAGCCGGGCAGAGCAGGAGGGAAGGACGAGAGCCTGGAGAGCCTCCGGATCTCCGAATTGCACCCAGGGATGGGGAGCTGGGAGAGAAACAGAGGCAGCTCTGCGAACCCCTGTCCTTCATCCAGCATCTTGTCCTTCCTGACCGGCGCAGGAGGCGAAAAAAATCCCGAAAAGAGGGACCGCAAGGACACCAAAAAAATGACGCAGGAAAGCCACCAGATGGGGCTCGACACTCGAGAAAATGCTGCGCCAGTCACACGACACTGGTGACACCGGTGTGACATCCACAGCAGACCCCGATGGGACGGAGATGGCCATGGGGCACCTGCTCTCCCAAAACGTCCAAATCCACCATCTGCATTTGGAAATTCCATTGAATACCCCAACCCCAGGAGCTGCAGCATGACACAGGAATCCTGCCTTCCCTTCAGCCAGGAATTAAATAAATGCAGTTTAGCTGGAAAGGCAAAGTCAGGGAGAGTGTGGTGGCTCAAGGAGAAAACAGAGAAAAGGAGAATGCAATGGTTTTTGTAATGTTAGTGACACAGAGACAGCAAAAACCAAGTGGTGGTGCCCATAATGTGCTGCCCACTGGCAAAAGCACCATAACCTCTGCCAAATTCCACCAAATTCCACCAAATCTGTCCTGTAGTCCTGGATGGTCTCCCCCTCCCCAGAAGCTCCCATTCCTGCCTGTACACAAAACCTAAACTCCTTTTCAGAAGGTTGAATCACTCATTTCTCATCACCTCAGCCACAGACAAGAAGAATTTGTTGCATTTCACCCTGCAGCAGTCTTTTACCTGTTTGCACATAGTTGCCATGTAAACCTTTCATTTCTCCAGATTAAAAAAAAAACAAAAACAAAAACACAGTTCCATAGAATCATAGAATTATTAAGGTTTGAAAATATCCCTAAGATCATAGAGTTCAATCATTTCCCTAGTACTGCCAAGGCCACCACTACCCTGTGTCCCCAAGTGCCATATCCACATGGCTTTTAAGTCCCTCCAGAGATGAGGACTCTCCCTGACCAGCCACTTCCAATGCTTGATAACCCTTTCCCTGAAGGAATTCTTCCTGATGCCCAACCTGAACCTTCCCTGCTGCATCTTGAGGCTGTTTCCTCTCATCCTGTCCATTGCTCCCTGGCAGCAGAGCCCAATACCCCCCAGCTGCACCCCCCTCCTGTCAAGAAGGTCCCCCTTGAACCTCCTTTTCTCCAGAAAAAAAAATTATTTCAGTGCCTTTTCACATTTCCTACACCTCTACTGTTCCCAACAGCTGTCTCCACTTTTGGGTTATTTTTAAGACCACCCTTACTTTTCCCAGCCCTCCAGGTTGACTGAACCAAGCTGCAACAATGACATTGGGCCACTCAAAAGGATTAGGAGGAAATGATCAGAAGGGACCCAATGTCCTGCAATGATTTCTCCTGGATCCCTGGGGTTAGGGTGAATCTCTAGGGATTCACCACCATCCACAGTTTAAGCACAGATTTTTTTCTTACTGGCTACAGAAAGAGGACATGACACCAATCCATGGAGGCAGAATGCATGGAAAAATATTCAAATTCATGGGATTGACACAGTGTCCTGATCCTGTCTCCATCAGTGGCAGTGGCACAAACACCAAGTTCTCCCTGACTGCTGAGCCCACAGCCTTTGGCAAAGGTCACCTGCATTGTGCCTCTTCCATGGATGGGGAAACTGAGCCAGAGAGTACCAAAAAGATGGTCTCAAAATTTTTTGGCATCAAACCTCGGATCTTTTAGTGCTGTCCCCTGCCTCTAAACACCACATGAGTGGAGCACAGCCCTACTAGCTGATGCTCCTCCATTCAGGGTGGACATAATTCCTTCCCAGCACAAATCCCAGCCCTGCCCAATCTGACCCTGGAAGACAAATCTGTCCCTATCCTATGGGGCTGTGACTTCAGGAACCCTTTGGCAAGTGTTGGGCAGTGTGAGCAAAGCAGCTCTGAGGACCATTTGCAGCAAAAAGTAAATTAACTTCATTTTTCTTTCTCTTTGGTCCATGAAAAAATATGGCGCTCTGTCTTCAGCATCATTCAGACCCAAATCTGGCAAAGAGAGGAAAGGAATGACTGAGATCCCATTCCTTCCTCATGCCAGTGGATTGTGATAAAAGTAATAAAGTAATATTTCCACCTTGTGGCCTTTCAGCATATAATAAATACCTACTTAATTTCTACTTAATTAATCAACATAAAATTTCACCCAGCTCCAACATTGATAATTCTTAACCCTATTTCCAAACACCAATGTACAGAACTGGTGTAAACAGTTTTATTCCAGGTCATCTGTTTCCTTCTGTTATTTTATTTACTTGAGGGTCTTTCAAATCTTTCCTAACATTGGTTAAGTGTAGACAATTTAAGAGGAATTAAGAAAAAAAAAAAATCAATGTCATTTCACCTGAAATTCATTGTTCCCGGTCAAGCTGATGGCAAACAGGCTTCTATAATTAGACTTTAAAATCCATATTCAGGCCTGATCTTCAATCTTTAGCAACATGATGCTTCCTCTTATGTCAGTGAAAACCATTCACTGCTCTGTGCTTTTGAAAATCAGGCTAATTTATTTATTTAAGAGCTTAATTTTGGATACAGGAGCCTAACTTTGGGCTTTTTTTTTCCTTTTTTTTGAATGCTGGCTATTTTTATATAAGAGTGTGTATATTTTTGTGTATTTTTAGTTCTAAGTCTCATCACGGCTTCAAGAGATAGAACTAATTTGGGGTTGTGAGGGGGATTGGGGTGATGTTTTATTTTTTTTTTTTTTTAGTGCACAAAGGATTGGCCGTCCCTCCCTCCTGGCAGGGCTCCCAGAATTCCTGTTGGTATAATTACCCTCACTCTTATTTACTACACATGTCACAGCAGCACACGAACTGCTGGGGTCAAAGTCACTGCTGTCCCCACTCCAAAGTGCCTTTTTAAGGAGCCAAATCCACCAAATGTGGTCAAATAACCTTTGGAAAGAGCTGCAGGAGCCCACCAGGAGGGAGAAGAGGAGATGCAATGCTCCTGCTGTAAAAACACAACCCACCCTGAGCTCTGTGGGAAAAGCTGCTCCATGGGGATGACAGGGGATGGATTCTGGAGGCTTTGGTTTTGTGTCATGAAATGAAGCAGGCCCTGGCCAGCTGGCAAGGATCAGCTCTGTGTGGCTACATCCATCTAGTTGGCCCTGGCCAAAATTTCCAGGGGCTGTGTTGATAATTTTACAGGGTGAACTACTGCAGGGTCCTGCCTGGGCCTTGGCAGGGTTGGATTTGCTGAGGTGGCTCCCAGTGTCACCAGGAAATGTAGGAGGATGCCTCTGGCAATGG